ATGCATGCATTTTCAACACTAATCTGAATTTCCAGAAATCTAGATGGGACTATTTTCTCTAATAACCTCTGACTTGTGCCTTAAGGTAAATTAGAGATAATTATACCTCTTCAGTGTCTATCACACAGAGATGTTGCAAGGATTAATGAGTAGTGCGTGGAGCTCCACTGAGAAAAGAGCTATATGAACGTGGTATTATTACCAGATTAATTATAATTATTTGTCCATTCTCTCTTCCTGATTCTCAGGGTCAAAGGCAATATCGACCAGACCTGCAGAAGGAAGTAAATCTTCCTTTGCCTCTCTTGTTGAAGTAAATGAGGGAAAGAAGGCAGACCAGAGGAGGGGCTGGTTCTCCCTGCTTCTTCTTCCCTTGGGAAATTTTTGACAAATACAGCCGACCCCATGAGTCTATGTGGTCCGCATCCCTGTGCTTATTCCCTTGAGTCTCATTTGTGTGGTGTTAAACACTGTTCCTTCTGAGTCATTTTTGTAAGACAGAAAGCAGGACCAGCTTCATGGGCATGCATCCTATGCAGGTGCACAGGGCCCAAACTCAGAAGGGCCCCTTAAGTACTGTTTCTGATCTTCTGTTTTGCCAATGAAGTCTGATCAGACAATAGAGTATATTCCAGTGGATTCAAGCCTTGACTTCTGTGCTGTATGAACTCCTCCTGCCACCTGCCTGCCTTTCCAGGACATGTTCTCAGCCCCCCGTTACCCTGATTTCTGGGACTCATCTAGACTTCCTCTTTCTGCCCTCACCCATGACCACTGCTGTTGTCCATTCCCATGGGGATCTGGGTGATAGTGCAGTGAGTCTGAGCTGGGTGTGTGTGCCTTGCATAGTCTCAGGTGGGGAGTGGTGGCAGCTGCTGGGTTAGCAGGCTAAAACATGGTAGGAAGAGGCCATGGCTTGGTGGGGGTGAGCCTCTGTCCACAATGATCAGGTATCTAACATACCCCAGTGCAGAGGTGGTAGCACCCTGAGGCGTCACCTGTCTTTTGTGTACTGGGACATTGGTACCATCTGACTTTCCCAGACCCCACCTCTGGCTCACAGCATATCAGTTTGGCAGCTGGCATGTAATGAATTGGCATATGTGCCCTAAGTGAATTTTGGGGTCCTGTGAGGATCTCTGCTTTCCTCACAGTATCTACATGCCTAAGGGAAATTAATATTAAAGAATAAATATAAAACATACCTTGCATTCATTTGTTGGGACTAATGTACCATGATAATATAAGATGCTAACAGTAGGTAACCCTGGATGTGGGGTATATGGGAGCTCTCCATATTGTCTTTACTTTTCTGCAAATCTAGAACTATTTTAAAATAAAATAATTATTTTTTAAAGATTTATTTATTTATTTATTCAAGCACTGGGTACAGTCAGAAGCGCGGGAGGGTGAGAGAATTCACCAGAGCCAGAGCGGGGAGCAGAGCAGGCAGAAGGACCGAAGCACACTACTGAGGGGAGCAGCGGGCGGCAGGAGATGTCTGCGCGCCATGTGGGACCCTCCTCCGGTGGCTGGAGAGCAGCCGGGGATCGAACTGGTGCCGCAGAGGTTGCAGGCAGCTTCGCAACCCAGCGCTCAACCGCTGCGCCACCAGGGAGGCCCAAAATAAAATAATTATTAAGCTTGTTAAACGCCACATGATGAGAAGTGATGAGAGAAAGAGACTTGAGAAGAAACTGTCACACTTTATGCCACTAATAGCACCTTTTTCTCCTTTTTGAGCAAGGGGCTCTGCATTTTCATTTGCACTCAGCTCAGCTCTGCATATTATGTAGCTGATTCTGACCGATTAATCCCTCCTGGAACATGAAGCTCTTCTATCTCTCTTGTTCTCTTCCCACCCCCAAATCCTAGGCCTTTGTTTCTTTGATTGCCATAATAATTGTATTCCTATGTATTGTTCACCTGCTAAGACCTGGCTACTAAGTGAGACACTTTATATATTTTATCTCATTTAATGCTTTTGTTTCTCTACAAGATAAATAATCTCATCCTTCTTTTAAATTGGATATCAAGGTCCAGAATCACCCAGTGAGTGGTAGAAGAAAAGTCAAAATACCTGTGCCTCACTCCAAAGTTGGTGCTGTTCCCATAATGATCCAGATACACTAATTAGCCTCTAGGTGCTCACATATGTTTAGGCTGCTTGGCTAGGTACATCTAGCCTGCGTACCAGGTATAGAAGTGTCTTCCAGGTACCAGAACTAGATCTGTAGCTACAATGGCAAAGTTATAGCATGGAAACCAGGACTGAGCTGCACTGGTCCTGTGCTATAGCTGTACATGTAAGGAGAGGGGGTTGATGTCCCTGTCTTCAGACTCCTCTGATACCTGTCACTGCCTTAGCTACCATGATAAGAAGATTTTAAAATGAAGCACAGACAAAGTCTTGGTTTAAGATCAAGAATTTGGGAAATTATGAGTCTTCATTAATTTCAAAACAAAATTATTTTTGCTTAAATAATATTGTGGTTGACCAGACTAAGGGAGGGCAATGAAACAGAATCCTAGCACATCCACTGGCATCTCACTTGGTACAGCTCTACATGCTTGCTGGGCTGGTTCTAGGCAACAAATACGTGGTGGTAGCACTTAACTGCTGGCTCTTTGAATAGTCCTCCTTTATTGGGGCTTTTCCTACTATCATTACTGTCTTTTCTGTGTCAAGCATGAGTGAAAATCGGATCCTTTTTCTTCCTCTTTGTGAAGGAGAAATGTGATAAATTATCTTACAGTCATTTCACATCTCGGCTGATTCAAAGACTCTGAGCAAGTTTACTCCCTACCATTATGGTAAATACCTGATCTTAACTATCAAGAACCGTAGTTTGTGATGTGGAAGACACCACAGTGGTAAAATCTGAGGAGTTGGGAAGCGATTGGAATGAGAATAAGAGAGTCTATCCCTTCAAGAAAAGCTTCCTTGGAAGAAGTGCTCTTCTGAGAGGAAATTAAGGAGAGGTGAGGGGGTGTTTTGGACATCTCAGAGAATAAGTGAGATTATTCGTGTTGAAGCAGTTTTGCAAAATCAAGGAGAAAGAAATGATGGATGGGCCTCCCCGGTGGCACAGCATTTGAGCACTGGGCTGCGGAGCCTCTGCAGCGCCGGTTCCATCCCCGGCCGCCTGGCGAGGGTCCCACATGGCGCGCAGACCTCTCCTGCAGCCCGCTGCTCCCCTCAGCAGTGTATCATCAGTCTGCCTGTTCTGCTCCCGCCCTGGCTCTCATGAATTCTCTCACCCTCCCATGCTTCTGACTGTACCCAGTGCTTGTATAAATAAATAAATAAAATCTTAAAAAAAAAAAAAGAAATGATGGAAGGTATGTGCAAGTCTGGCTTGAAGAGTTTTACCAACTACATCTCAGTTCTTGTCTGTATATCTTTGAGGAGTATGAAAAAAATGGAGGAAGTCACCTCCTGTGGTTTTGTGGCTTTTTAAGTATGACATACAGGATATTGAATTTTAACCCCTGTTTTTCATGAAGTGTAGGCATGGTTAGGGGATAAACAAGACAGCTATTCTTTGAAATGTGCATCTGTGGTCAAGTGACCCCAGTCATTTGGAATCGTTTTTCTGTTTATTCCCTTTTCTGCTTAAAGTCTGAGTGCCACACACTAAATTATTCACATAATAATAAAAAGCTATATATGTTCCCCCTCATATTTCTGTGTGAACATACAAAAAATATACTTTAAATCTGACAGCAATGTGTGTAGTATTTTTATAAAAGAATGCCACACAAGAATTTTAATATTTTGAGTGCCTATTGTGTGCCCACAGTCCAAAAAAAAAACTTGGCAGATTTAGTAGATGTTCCCCTCAAAATCATGTATGCATGATTTTTATAATTGCTATAACACCATCAGTCCATCTGGCATTTATCAAATTAATTCAGCATTTATTAACACAGGGTTCTTAAGTACATAACCTTAAGTCACCTTAAACTCCTTGGCTTTTGGATGTGGAATAACATGTTGTGAACACATGTTTTATTATCCAGCAATGAGTTTTATTACCCAACAAAAATACGGTATTAAAATCATTATTTTTTGTATGGACCACTGAGAAATATTTCCAGAAAGTGTAAATTGCTATAGCGACAAATCAGAGCCCCTGGCTTTAATCAAAATGACAATCTGCAGTGTTCACATCTGGCTCCACCTGAAAGTCCGGTTCAGAATTTCCCTGTGATCCTGCCAGTTGCAGAGGAGAAGTTTTAGCTTTGTTTAGTATAACAAGAGCTGCTGGACTCCCAGGCCAATAAACGTGCTCACGTAAGACTCCAGACAGCTTCTCTTAGACTGAAGTCTTATCGGGGAGACCTCATTTTGCCTCTGCTTAAGGGAGAGGTTTACGGCAGGCGAGGAATAACCTACGCCTCTCACTTGTGCGGGTCAGTGTTGGCTGAGTTAAAAGTTACTTCAACTTTTGCACATTCCCCGAAATGAACGACTGCCTAGCCTTCCAAAGAACTGTCAAAACAGACACCCCGAATTCTCGAGTAGGTTTCACTTAGAAGAAAAACAAAATGAGCAAGTGTTTTCCTCATTTCTTCTGTAGACGGCAACACTCAGAAATGACATCACACACCCCAAAGAGCCCCGGGATGACTAAGGCAGAGAGAGCCTGAGAAAACTCACTGCTTGCCTTTAGGTTTAGGACACAAGTATGCAGATGAGCTTATAAGAGACAGTTCCCCGCCTCCTTCCTCAGAGGAAGTCTCTGGGTAGATCGCAGACACCTCATCCCGTCGGGGGAGGGTGGGGGGGTGAAAACTTGGCACCCGGCATCCCAGGCCGAGCCCCACGGTGATTTGTTCTCCTGGTGGAGACTGGAAGGAAGGAGTCGGCGCGCAAATAATGAAGGAGCACAGGGCCACCTTCAGTAGCGCCGGGATCAGCAGCAGCAGCGGTGACTGTGCTATGGACAGCCTGCAGCCACTTCAGCCTAACTACATGTCTGTGTGCTTGTTTGCAGAAGAATCTTATCAAAAATTAGCAATGGAAACACTGGAGGAATTGGACTGGTGCTTAGACCAGCTAGAGACCATACAGACCTACCGTTCTGTCAGTGAGATGGCTTCTAACAAGGTAAGAACTGCTGTTTTATTCATTTAAGTGTGACCACACGGGAGCTCCCAGCCCCCTGACCTTGGTCTGCAGCAGAGGTGCACGGGGAGATCTGCCTCAGAAGATTCTGTTCCCAAGTGCCACACTTGACTTGTGTCTTGATGCTACAGTGAAGGTTTAAAATCCTCAGTTAAAACCTCATTTTCATGCCCAGAAGCCAAACTTCTTTCTTCCTTTCTTTTCCCCCCAAACTTCTTTCTTGTTGATGCAGTGTGGAATACTATGGGTGAGAGAAGTTTATGAAGTATACAAATCACTATATAAGTGAAAATTTCTTAAAGAAATTATAAGGAATATAAAATCTGAATGAATCTAAAAAATGAAATGTAGAACATGTTGAATTGCAATCAGATGTTTTGTGTCTGTCTATATATTTGTGTCTATCTATATATGAACATATAGATGAATAGATTTAACAGGAAAATAATGTGAATTCTGTGTGTCAGTGGAGAGAATGGCTTGCTGTGAAGTTTCATTAAATCTGAAACTCTTCTCAGAAGGACAATCTGGGATTTTATGACATTATTTTTGTGATGTTGGCATGATTTAAGATTATATATATATATTTATATATATACTATATATATACTAGAGATATATGTGTGTATATGTATGTGTGTGTGTGTATATATATATATATATATATATATATATTCATTTTTTCTTTCCAAAAAAGAAAGGTTTTTTGGAAGTTTACTGGCTTTAAAAATGGGATCATTTTACATGGAGTATTTCAAATTCATATCTGAGCATAAATTTCCTCACTTTACTATTTTTCCTGGCTTTAATTTATTGTCTAAAACAGACTGTACATCATTAGAGTCAAAATTTGATTAAACAGACCCAAAAAACCAAATAAAAAATAACAGTGGAATAATTGAAATTAAGTTCCATAACTGCAAAGAAAATGGTTCTATTTACAATCCCCAGATAAAACTTAGTGTTGGGGAGATTTAATTATCTATCATTATATCATTTGTTTAATTAACACCTGGATTTAGAGTGCCAATTTATGGGGTGAGAGTTGTTGCTTCTTGTTTATATTTTTCCTTTTTCCCTTAGAGAATGTTCGTGTGTGTATAGGCATATGTATATACATATACACACATATTTATGCACACACACGTGTTCGAGTGTGTGTGTACATAAATGGAAAAGACTTAACACTCTACCCTCCTAAGTAAATATCTTCAGAACCCCCAGTCTTTCTAGCCTAAGGTATTGTCTTATTGTTTTACGATTCTGAAGCTGAGAAGAAATTTTTGCTTCACACCTGCTGACATGCCCTTTCTAGCCCGGAGGTTCACTAGTAATTGTGTGTCTCTCCTCCCTCTATCCTGGGGTTAGAAGTATCAGGCTGGCTCCTGTGCCCAGGATCTGAGCGGAGAAAACAAGAGGTCCTAGAGGAGAGAAGGGGGACTCTTATTCTTTGCTGATCAGTTAATAAAAGGATAAAAATAAGTTCTTTCATAAAGTTTAGTTCAGATTCAGGTTGGAAAAAAAAAAACAAGAAAAAGACACATTTGAGGCTTAACTATTTTCTGACTTTTCTCTGAAGTTCTCAATTAGGCTAAAGACAGGGTTTTTCTAGGCTGTTGGATATCTCACCAAACTGCTTCCTCATGAGGATTTAACTGTGCAACCTCTCCAAACCAACCTGGACTTCATGTAGTAGGGTTTTCATTCTTGTTTTCCCCACTTTGAAGCATGAAGAGATACTCTGCATTTTGTGATCAGTGATACCCATACAAGATGTAGATTCAGTATTTAGGAGCAGTTTTTCAGCAGGCTTTATCATAGAGGACATGCTGAACTAACTCTGGAGTCACTAAGATAAACTCCAAGGGGAGAGAGAGAATATTCATTCAGAAACTACAAATGGTCATTATTTTTCATTTTGAGTGTTGATGCCTTGTAACATTCTAAACAGGTTTGTATCTGGAGTGCTGATATTTGATATTGTCTGTCTTGCAAATTTATTAGAACTAGTTCCACATTCAGTGTAGTAGTTAACAAGGCTCTGAGACTAGGGACTCTGTAGGTCCTGGTGAGATTTCCAATCACTTCAGGCTTCCGTTCTTCTTTATGGTGTTGTGTGCAGGAAGCAATGAAAGTTGAATAGAGCTAACCATAAAGAAAGGGCTAAGCCTTAACTCTGACACAGTTAATTTGAGAAGAAGGCATGCAGCGTCACTTATTTTTTAGATTTACAGTGGAAAGGTTTAGGGCAGAGCAATTATCCAGTGGATGAAGAATGCTGGTTCACAGCTGATGTTAATTTCAATTTTTTAAAAGATCTCTTTTTACTTAACACCTTCCCCCTTACACACACACACACACACACACACAGTCTTGATTATTCTGATAATTGCCTCAGGTAAGGCTTAATTCATAGTACATGTAATATTTGTGTGGCCACCCAAAAGAAATTGACCTATACCAGCTTGGGAGGAACTGAATTTTCTGTGGTAAAAATAAAATTCCAGGATCAATTTTAAATGTCACCAAAATGGAGTGTTTCATCCACATGCTATTTTAAAATATAATCGTCATCACCAGTTTATGTTTGGTCATCTTTTGCTTACTCTCACTTAACAAAGGAATCACGACAAGTATCTGAGTTACAAACTTAGAAGTGAGTGTTAAGATGTTCTCTAGAGGGAGTGTGTGTCATCAGGGGCTTTGAAGGCAAAATCTCATGGGTCAAATTCTATCTCTGTCATTTACTTGCCTTGTGACCTTGGCCAACAAACTTTAACAGCGCTAAGACTCGATTTTCTCAACTGTAAAACAGACCAACTTTACTGAAGTTGCTGTGAAGATTAAGTAAGATAATGTATCTAAAGCTTCAGGAACATTCCTGATGGGTAGTTCAATTAATGACAGCTTCTTACTAGCATCTGAAAAATCTTTGCAAAACAATCATATGTCCCTAGAACGGATCAGCTAATGTATTTTGTTTGCCGCCTCTTAGCTTAAGTGGTGATGAGAGAGCCAGTGTTTTGCTTAGAGGGTATTTAGTGATTACATATGTGCTAGACTACATGCAAATTGTAGAGAACTGACTGTGTTGAGTGCAAGAAAAACAAGCAGTCTTTCATATTAACTTTATATGTGTAAGGTTGTATGTTTTTGTTTTTTCTTAACTCTTATGTTTTGAAGAAAACGGAGGGCCTCAAAGATTAGCTTTCCCAAGTGTGCTTCAGAGTCCAGGGAGTTAGACAAGGCACTGCGTTTGCAACTTATAAAATTCTGCAACTTATAAAAACACTGTCTTCTTGGCCCAAATTTCTTAGATTCCTCAATTCTGGCCATAGACCATGTGGAATTTCAGAATTGTAGAGAAAGCTGCAACCAGGTGGGATTGCATGGTAGATTATTACCTGCACACCCGCACCCCCCTCCCCCACGACCCCGGGGAATTACAATAAAATGGAATAAATTAAGCTGAAGTTTTGGAAGGTAATGGTGGTGTTTTTTCAAGATGAAAAGGATGTCAAGTGACCCTTCTGTTAGTAGCCCAAGTTCAGTTAGACACATTAGCACTGTTTTCTTTAAAGACTGATTGCCTTGGGCCTCCCTAGTGGTGCAGCGGGTTGAGCGCAGCTCTGTGAAGCTGTCCACAGCCTCTGCAACGCCAGTTCGATTCCCGACCGCCAGGGAGAAACCCACATGGCATGGCAGACCTCTCCTTTACTGCTGCTCCGCTCAGCAGTAAATTTTGGTCCTTCTGCCTGTTCTGCTCCCTGCTCTGTCTCTGGTGGATTCGCTCACCCTCCCGCACCTCTGGCCTGTACCCCAGTGCTTGTATAAATCTTTAAAAAAAAAAAAAAAAGATTGCCTTCCTTGGTTTGTTCATTAATTTTTGTGTTCAACTTTTATCCCTCTTGAATTAGAAAAATTGTCTTACATTGCGGCGAAATGTATCAGAGCATGAGTTTCTCAGTGACAAAACAGTCAGATGTTTTGAAAACAGGATGCTTTGGCTCTGCATTATAAAAAGAGGAACGGAAAGAGAAACAGTATAGAAAGGAAGAAAGCAAATAGCCTCAGCAGGATCCCCAGCCCAACAACGGCATAAACACTGACCTATCTTCCTGACCTTCACTGTGGCTCAGTTCCTGACCTCCTGTCACCAAAGCCAACAGACGTCACTGGAGGAGGAGAGGAGGAATGGCGCAGCTGCTGTGAGGGTGACTAGAATTTCCTGTCTCCTTCCTGACAGACCCAGCCAGAAAAGTACAGAGTTGCAACAACAGTGTCTGAGGAAGGACTCACTTAGAACAATCCCAGAGAGGCATAGTTGTGACTGATGGCCAAGGGGAACCTCTTACTGAGAATTAGGCTCTTGCCTAAAGTTTTCTGGTGCAAAATGGCAAAGGGGTCATTTGTACCCAGTGCATGGAATGTTTTTTCAGATAGTGAATATCCAGTGGCTTCAATAAGGAACTAAGTTTAAGCATCCTGTCACTATCCTGACTTCTCCCCAAACACCCTCCACTCTCCTTTTCTTTCTCCACTAGCTTTGGCTGGGGCTGCTTTGTGTGTATTACAAAGGTTTGAGCCCCATTCTTGAAAAGAGCCATCCTGAGTAACAGCAGTACTTTTTCTAGAAGGATGCATCAGGACCTAACTCTTTAATAGATATTTGCTGAGGAAATGTATAATGTAACAATGGAAGATAGACTGCCTTTTTTCTCTGAGGGCATCATGAAGTTAGCTGCAGATACCATGACACAGAAAGTGACGACACAGGTTTATTTTTCTGATCCTCCAGATCTGGCTATGCAGGAGTATTGAACATGAAGGCGACAAATTGCTTGTGCTCTTGGGTGATAGGGAATAAATTCATATAATTTTACCACCCTAAAGTCTCCCAGGTCCCAAATTACTAGAATGAATTTGTGATAAACAGATTGCCTTCAAGTTGGGTGAGTCATTTTCTACCAAACTGGGTATGG